GTGTGTGTTAGTGTGTGATAGTGTCTTAGTGTGTGTTAGTGTGTGTTAGTGTGTGTTAGTGTGTGTTAGTCTGTGTTAGTGTGTGTGTGTTAGTGTGTGTTAGTGTGTGTTAGTGTGTGTGTGTTGGTGTGTGTTTGTGTGTGTGTGTTTGTGTGTGTGTGTTAGTGTGTTTATCCATTTTTGCTACAACCCATGACTCCAAAAGAAAGCTACCGCTTGACGAGCACCTTGCAAGAGGTCAAATCCATGGGACATACAGCGAAAAATGTCAGTTGTTGCTGGTCCAGCATTCCAATGCATGTGTGTGTACATCGATATGCTTGCGATGCGTGTGTAGTATCTATGTTTCTGTGTGCATGCGTCAATCTGCATTGAAGACCGTGCTGCAGCGCATGGCAACATCTGGAGAAAGAAACATTGAAATTGCCAACTTGGCGGAAGCACAGCAACGCAATGACATTGTACAGACAAAGTTTGAAGGCACACTTGGTGAACTCCTTGTGGTTGAAATTAGCCGCATTGGTGCGGCAGTGCAGTGCTTCGCGACATTCAACTGAACCCTCTCGGAACTTTCAGGGTCAGCCTAAAAAAACTCGGCATGCTTCCCCAAAGCTCAACACAAACGGAACAACTTGTACTTATACGTACATCACAAGAAAACATGGAACACTGCGCCAGAGTTGCACAAAGACAAAACTTGCAAGAATCCAGGCTTTGGCGAGGAAGAGACTGTGCCATTTACCGTATGTGTTTCGGAGCATGAACAAGTTTCAGGCCTATTTTGCTTCTCGCTCAACTCATGCAACTATGTTTCAAAGGCGCCACACAAAAACGCCGCCGTGGCCAATGAGGCGAACCCTAACATGACATACACCCACTATGCGTTTGCAAAGACAAACAAATGACGAAGCTGCCCAGCGGACTTCAAGGTAAGCATCACCTTGAAACGGAGAGAAGTATGCTGAGGTGCCATGTTGAAACCATCATGATGTTGCCAGTTCTGAATGAGTTTGGACAATCACTGGAACGTGGAGCAAAGTGTGTCAACACATTTTGCTGCGCCAAACTGAAGTTCGAAAAGGTCACAGCAATTTACATATATCATAACTTGTATCATGTCGAATTGCTCTGCGAACAAAGCATGCCGCAAGCGCACATCAGCATTCCCGAAGCAATATTCCTAGTAGGAATCGAGAGGTTGGAAAGTTGAAGTTGAACTGATGGTACCAAAGCCGATTGGACACCGTGACATGCAAATCGACATGAGCCCCCGGCCCGCTTGTGCGCAGCCCGCCGTGCGAGGAGGCAAACTGCGACCCTGCAATGAGACGCGTTAAGCCAGTCTGCCAGTCTGACCAGAAACTCTGCCCCCAGATCGCTCAAGCACGCGTGCCAAAGCCTGCTGAAGCCCAACGAGGGTTCAAGCCCAAGAAGTCGATCTAAAAATAAATGCACGGCCTGGCCCTGTGGCCCCAATCAAGTCATGTACCAATGGTGGCAGGCAAGCCAAGCGGGCGGCGGGGCACGCAGAACGCGCTCGCCTGCATGAGTCAACAGTCCTTTTGTTTGGATCCGCTCACGCACTTCAAGAGCGAGCCCAGGGCAAATGCATATCCACTCACTGTGAGGCCGAGACCCCGCAGAAAGTCGGCCCCGAAGGGACACTGAGCCGAGAAGCCGTCGGCAAGAGCCCACCCACAACTCATCGCCGTCTCTCAGAGCTCTGAAGATCGCCCCGAACTGTTCTCCTGTTGGACTCGTGCATGTCCACCCTTATAAGCCTTAGCCGTCCTCGAAGAAGCACCCAATGTGAAGTGTGCCGCACGCGCGCCCAACAATTGCAACTTTTCTCCCAGATGTTATGCGCCAACAATATTTCCGGAAAGGCTGAGAGCATGAGGCCACATCCCAAAGCGCACGGCTTGAAAAAGCTAAGATCGTTCAGATCGGACCTTTTGGTTGGGGCTTCGCAGCTCTCCGGGCTCTTCCCTTCGACGGTAAACACGGCACCACACGAAGCCACCTCCCCTCTAGGCAGGTGAGCTCTCCGCAGGCTAGAGACAAGCCACGATTCAAAGTACCACTCCCTTGAAAGCCAGAAACTTATCGACTTCTCAGTTTGCGATTAGTCAAAAAAACGTTACGAACCGTGATTGGCCGTTTGGCCTTAGCTTGTCCCAAGATTCGTTATTGCTGCCGCCGATGCAGTCAGCTTATCACGCGAATGAAATATGCCCTTTGCAGGCACATAGGCAGCGTGGCAGGGCCGAGAGCTTTCAGCAAGCCAAGCCTTCCCAGTCCTTCAGTGTCACCTTTCTGAACACACTGTTTGCAAGCCGATACTGTGGTTCCTCGAGAAGCTATAGACCGATGAAGTCATTTAATCATGGTTTTTTTCACCCGCTGGGCAAATGATCAAGTGGGCCCCCTAGGCCAAAATGGCAAACGGAGTGATGGGCCAATTGCCGCAACACTGCCATGCACGAGATAGGCCGAAACTCTCACTGCTATATTTTCTTTTGGCCCATCACTTGGTGTCTCTGAGCTGAACTTGCGGCCGCTGACACCATGCATTCATCCGATTCTGCAAGTCCCTGTCGACTTTCGTCAAACCATCAGAATGCTGAATGTACGTGGGCACCCAGAAAATGTCATCCCTGGAGATCAGCTCTTGCACTGCTCTGATGCCTATCAGGGACCTTCGATCCTCCACGCGAGGATTCTCCGCGCTGGTGCAATCGTATAACGATTTGCTATCTGTTACTTGAACCGTCCGCAATCGGTTCCCAACCCCGAACGCCGGCACTCCCCAGATAAGTTCTGATAGCGACATGTTCACCATGGTGCCCCGGTCAGCAGACATATCAGCTGCTGAAGCCTCAGCACTCAGTGTTGAGCGACACGCCCGGGGCGATCACGCAGTCTTCCAGTCAACAATTGCTGCTGGCACGATCTGCTCGGTCACTTGCGGTGAAGTTAAAACCACGACTGCACCGCGCCGACTGCGGTTCTGCTTGCTGTTCGCCCAGCCGCTGTCTCCAAAAACCACGACCACCGTTCCAGGATTAATCGGCACGGGCTCTATGATGATCCCGTCATTGTGTCTGCTTGACATGCTCCATGGTGCGTATCAGTTGCTTAAAGTCGCTGATATCCGTCTCAGCTTCCTTGTTGCTCAAAGAAACTGCAGGTGCTGTTCTTCTTCCGATCAGCTGGTGTCTTCTTGTAACCAGTGAACTTCCGGCCAAGTGTCGCTGAAGACAATCGCTTGGCTGTCACTGTCAAAACTGAAGCCAGCTGCTCGGCCGCAGCATCGACTTCTCCGTCGCTTGCTCCGTCCTCTTCTTCAGGTGTGTCTGACAGCTGGTGTTCACCATCGTCATCATCCTGTGGCCAACATATGCTGTCTTGCGATCCCGAAAGCGTGATGGTGTTGTGGAACCGGAGCTAGGGCCACCGCGGCCTTTTCCCTTGCGATCAGATTTGAAACCTGTCTTGCCGGAACCTTGGACAGGATTGCCATCACGATTGAACGGAACAAGGGTGGAGCGCCTCGGTAATCAGGAAACATCATGCACATTGCATCACAATTAGTGTCAAAGTCCAACTGATGGCCTGCTGCAACCAAAATCATGCGCTGATGTTCCCGAGACCACCTTGCTCTGTCCAGCAAACGGGACCCGCGTGCTTCCTGGTCATACATGCCATGGATGTTAATGTTCACACTGCCGAGGGCCACCTCCGAACGCCGACACCGGTTGGTATAGCTTGTCAGGGTTTCCGATGTGAACCTTTGAACATGTTCATAATCGTCCAACAGCTTCCGCTTCAAAAATACTGTTTTCTGCTGGAATGAACTTTCCAGGGCAGTCGATCCCGTCTCGGCCGTTGACTTTCTTGGGCTCCAGAAACTTGGTTTCCTCTTCTGCTTTGCCAGCCAATGCTGTATATAGCAGCATCGCCGACTCATTCTCTGGCAGGTACGAAGAAAACCTGCTCCCGCCACTTGCGCTTCCACTTGCTAAAAGCTCGCGCATCTGTTGAGTTGTACCGCCACGGTGGTGGCTGCGGCGGTTGGCCTGAACGCCAACGAACTCTAAGTTCTGGCCCGCGTCTCGAATTCCATTAATCGGCATCATCGGAACGGATGAAATCCTTGAGACTGCGCGCCAGCTTCTTTACCAGAACTTCGTCGCGTTCTGCTGGTTGAAGGGGACGCGCAGCTGTTTTCTGTGGGCCAAAATGGCCTGTTGCAACCTGAGGCGCCGAACGGCCCTTGCCGGTATGCTGTGAATCTGTGTTGCGCCTCTGCGGAGTCGCCTCCTCGAAGTGGATGATGCAGCATCTTCATCGGGATCCACTAGGGGATCCGTTGTCAGAGCTTCTGACTCTGCCTGCTCGCTGCCTTTGGCATATGGATCTGGCGGTTCTGGTGCACCATGTCTAACTCCCCATGGTGGGCAAAACTGCGGCCCTGCTGACATTCTTCGGGATGGCCATCGGGGTCCTCTGGCTCCTCAAGCGCAAGCTCATCGCATCCGCAGACATCGCAAACCCACGGTCGCTCTCCCAGTGATATTTGGCTGCGGCACACTGAATGCAAATCCAGCGCGAGGTCGATCTCATACCCCAACTCTCTCTCCCGGATCGATCAGACTCAGCCTGATACCAGTCAGAATTCCAACCATTAAGTCCTGGCGGCGTATCTGGCATAAGTGGAGCTCTCTGACGGTTCAAGTACTCGTCCATCCGGCCTCAGCCTCAAGATCAAATACTCTGTCATGGCCAGGCTGCACCACTGTATCAAAGTGACCTGCTCCGCTACCAACTGAACACACAGTTTGCAAGCCGATACTGTGGTTCCTCGAAATGCTATAGACCGATGAGGTCAATCAAGCGCGCTGCACACCATGGCTTGTTTTCACCCGCCGGGCAAATGATCAAAACGCTGAAGTGGGCCCCCTAGGCCGAAATGGCAAACGGAGTGATGGGTCAATTGCCGCAACAATGCCATGCACGATAGGCCGAAACTCTCAACCTTCAGGCAGCTGAAGCTCTGGCTAGCTGTGAAACTCACTGCACAGCTGTCAGATGGGAGGAACTCCCCAACGTCTTGGAGGCCATATCCAGGACGTCGCTCAGGGACTTGAAGATTTGGCCTACAGCATTCTCATATCGCTCCAAAGAAGCTATCTGCATCGTCCCGGGTGCTTAGATCCAGGCAGTCTGGGATGGGATCTGTCGGGTTCACATGGAAGGCCTTCACGAGCCCGCCGGACAAACAGAACAGCAGACCAATGGCTGCTGCAGCGCGCACCTGCCAGGGGGCTGGAAAAAAAAGGACCCCTGTCTACCACAGAGAGAGAGAGAGAGAGGCAACGTGCCCTGACTGCCATCCGGCAATTGTGCGAGTCAACAGAATCATTTAGGGCCTGGGCAATGGCAATAACAACTCAGGGAAGGGTTATGGCATGTCAAATGCCGACCATGCATTCCACTGCAGCTGCAAGCAACGTGAAAGATATCATACATCAGGCCTGGCTGTACCATTCCGGTCGATCCTCCTCCTTCATGTCGCTAATAACAAGGGACCTGGTTGGAAGAAATATCGCAACGGCAAGGTTCGAGACTGGAACCAGGTCTGGCCAAGGACTTAAGGCCCAGACAAGAGGAATCCACCCAGTGCACCTCCGAAGTGCCTCAACGTGTGATTCAGCCAATTTTCCAGGTGTACGTATCCGTCATTGGGCTGCTCGCCCAAAGATGTCCATGTTGGGCGTCATAGAGGACATCGTGGTTACAGAGATCATCATGAACACAATCCTGCGTGCGGCATTACAGGGAAAGTCGCACAAGCTTCAAGCAGGGTGCAAAATGTCAAGAACGCCCACCACAACGTGCTTCTGGTCCAGATCACCGTCCGCTCCCGTGCCGGCCCCAGGATCTCCCAAGAAAGGAGAATCTCCGCCTCAAGTCCGGTTTTGCTGAAAGTCACAAGACATCCAGCGCACTGTGATCAATAAGGCCCGTGCCAGCCAAACACCGATCAGTCCAAACCTTGTGACACTCTGGCCAGCGTGTGCTTTGAACCCCCTAAAATACAAATCGTGATTCAAGTAATGCCTGCCACTGTGAACTCACATGAGCCCAGCATCAGCAAGGCACCCGAGCCGAAGCAAAGTGAGAATCATCAACACATATTTTCATTTGTCTGCTCTTGGATATTCCGAGCTTAGACATGCATGTGCTGGAAGGACTCGAAAGTTTTCTACGTGAAGTCGCAATCTGCTCAGTCAAGCCCTGGTGTCATTGCTAGAACTGATTGCTGTCCGTTGGTGGAGTTGCCACCTCGAATCTAGTAGGCGATCTTACCTGCCTCGGAAGGCAACCGACAATGACGAAAGCTAGAAGCGCTGCAAAAGTGTTGTGCGCAGACTGCGCAATCCCGTAAAGCGACATTCATTGTGCCTTTGGAGGCCTCTTGCTGCTCGGCTTGCCCTGGCAAAAGCGCCCGCACGCCCCAGAAGGAAGAAGACGCTCTCCGCGGCGCTGCAAGGGAAGCTCCAGCTGAAGGTGCAAGTGAGGCCGTCACTGTGGGAAGCCATGTCTGCCAGCAAGTCATCTTGTCGCATTGTGAAACAACGTGGCCGTCGTTGCAAAGCCCCACAAGGAACATGGCACAACGCCCTGCAAGCGGCTGGTCCCGCCGAGTCCCTAGCCTTGGCATATACCCACATTGGTCCGTTGACGTTCTGCTGTGCTGGTTGCTCGGGCAGAGAGTCTGACACTAAAGAGATGCTCCCTGGGATCATTTCCATGGGCGCAAGAAATGACAGCAAGGTGGCGGATGGACGGATGTAAGCAAACAGCAACATGAAAAACTTTTATAGAGCTGCTGCTGCACCAGCTCAAGTACTGTGTGAGGCCCATGGTGACAAAGCAGCGCTGTCATCATCCCTCAATATGACAGGGTGTTCAACCCCAGGAAAAAAAATAATAAGCTGCATTCAGCTCTCATGAAGCGAAGGCCTACATCAGCAGACAGCTATGCAATCCTGTTATGTTTGTAGGCACTGATAAGGCCAACACCCTGCCGTGGAGGCGCCAACCTGACACAATCTGAGCGGCAATTGGCACTGCTCCCCAAGAAGTTTGCAGGTTGAATCAAACACATCTGAATGCAAAAAGTCAAAGCAACTCCCGACTCAAAGGCTGTTGCCACTTTGCGGCTGAGGTACGGCCAGCTTGTAGGGATCCACTGCGACACTCATGAGATTCCCAAAAAGGCCGCACCTGAGGTTCAAATCGGCTCAAGAAACCAGACCTCGGCCCCCTTGAATGGAAACCCATAGGTGTGTGTGTGTGTGTGTTGAGAGGGGCTTTAAACATGTTTGCAAATGTTGGCCCAACCCTCATGCTTCCAACAAGCACTAAGAGACCTGGCGCAAAGTAGATCATCATCATCTTATCTCGCCCGAATTGCCTGGCCATGGACAAGCGACTGTCTGCTATGCCTGGCTTCACCCAACACCTCTCCATTCCGAAGCCCATGCGGAGCTGAAAGAAGACCTGCAGGAGCAAATGCTGAGGCGATGCATGGAAGGATGCTGAGCCCCTTGCATTGAAGAGCAGGTGAGTCAGGTTTGCATGTAACCTTAAGACAACTTGCTGGACTTGCACTGCTGAATTCTCAACCAGGGCCAGGGCATCACTGGCGTAACAAGGCGCCAAATCTGACCCCGCGCCAGTGCCTCGAACGACCAATGCACTATTGAGGACTCGCAGTGTCGCTTGCTGCATTCTCGCAGTACGATGCACAGGAATCATTGAGTTGGACGTGCGCTTGCGGGCCCGACAGGACCCCAGGAGGCTCCCAGCTGGTAGAGCACACAAGGCCTCCAAATTCAGCATTGCTTCTCGTTTCGCTCAAGTTCAAGTCCGCCGATTTCTAAGGCGCGAACGTTGGGTTCGCACGATTGTGGCCAAGCCACATGGAAAACACAAACTCCGCGACCTGCTGTTGACGGTTTGCGAATGGTAGCCCGTGTTATCACACATGCAGCTGCGTGCAGGCTAGCATTCGCACGGTGCTTCTCTTTCACGTACGAAGCTGGGTGATCTTAATCGCGGGTACAGCGCTACTGCCTCGCTATGCTGACTTCCATCAGCCAAGCAAATCAAAGAAAATCGTCAAAGGCTCGACGCCGAGGAAGCTCCTGTCGCTTCCGATGTGAACGGACGACTGAATGCTTGTGGCATCAGCGTACGTTTGAGCTCACCCCAACCATGGGTTGGTGCTCACCATGACATGGACTCTACATACATACATATATATATATATATAGCATAGAAAGCGCAAAAACAGAACGCCTAATCAAAACACCTAATATCCGTTCAGCAAGGGTTCCCGCATGATGCTGTTGAGCTCATCACGCATTCATGAAACTTGTGCGGCGAATGTCTTGCCTGCAAGGAATAGAATGAGATTGCAGGCATTGCTGCATGTGCCTCGGCATTCGACCATCCTTGCATGCAAGAGCTTCAAGTACAATGCCTGAGTCGCGCACCACTTCAAAGTCAGTGGGCTCGTCATCAGCCAGAAGCGCCTGCAACGCTTGGGGAGGAGGAGTTGATATCTCGCATCCACTCCGAATAAAACAGAAATTCCTCCAGTCGGTCATTCGGCGGTCGAAGACTTGCGGTTGATCCCAGTGAATCATGCAAACCTCTGGCCGCTGGTCCAGTAACAAAAGCTTGAGGTACATGCAGCTTTCGGCGTAGTCTCTCAGCCACAACAATACCAACTGAGTCTCAACTGGCTTTACCAGGCAGCCCACACATCACAGAAACCACCCAAAATCGAACCTTGGTCGCTCAAGACCCCACAATGGACAAAACGCATGGTGCAAATGAGCTTGTACGTGTCGCTCAGGCAAACATGTGTCGCAACAAGTGTTCGCGTGCCAGTAAAGGAACCGCCAGCAATAGAGGAAATGTATGGCGCAAACTCGTGTGATCTTCAAGCAAAATCATCATCTGGTGGAAAATGTCTTCGTGCGCCGACCGAAAAGCCCCCTGCTGGATAAAGCGCATGGCGCAAATGGGTGTGCGTGCGTCGCTCAAGGGATGTGTGTTCAAACAAATCGAACAAATAAGGCATTGTGCCTACGCTTGGCGTACCAGGAAACCCCGTCTGGCGCAAATGATTTGCGATTGTTGTGCAAGGGAACTCCAGCAGAATATTGAGCACATGGCGGAAACTGCTTCGGTATTGTTGTTCAATGGCACGACAATGGACGAAACACATGGCCCTAATTGCTTGCATTTGTCGCAGGGAAATCCTGGCAGCAAGCTTGGACCGGGCTAACCTTGAACATAAGTTTTGTGCAGACCTGGCTGTTGTTCCAGCTGATAGTGCAAGATACACAGAGCAGTTGGGACCTGGAGAGTCAAGCACTGGAAAAGGATCTCGAACAACTGTTGGCCTGTTTAGCGAGAAAGTGTCTTGCCTCGTGAAACACTTTTTGCAAAAACGGCGCCCGTTCGTCACGGTTGAATGCTCTTGATGCATTCATCAACCATAAACCTGCAAAACGTATTGCAGCAATAGCAAGACAGTGAAACAATACCGCCCTCATGCGCCGTGCTTGAAGGTAAGAAAATGATGTTGCTTGCTGCCTCCCAGCCCCCTGGCGAGCACATTGAGCAGCTCTTTGCAGGTGCTTTACCCCAGGTCACATGTGCACTATCGCCTGATCTAAGCAGCAAAGATGCGTGCCTGATCTTTCTTGGGGCTGGCAAGCAATGGTAAAATAGAAAGCCACAACGCAAAGGATTCGGGTTGGGACCTTCCCCAGTAAACTCTTACAGCTAAAAAGACCAAATCGGATGCCGTTGCACTTTTGGGGTGCGTCGACTGGAGAATGCACGGCAACCCAAAACCAGCGCCCTAAGTCAAATCAACCTCTAAATCCGATTTTCTAGAGCTGAAATCTGCAGACTGGGTTCGTTACAAATCGTGCAAACTGATTGTGGTTCAAGCAGCGTTCACAGCCTACTTGCTGCAAAGAACAGAACTTACTGAGTATGCACCTTAATTGAGAACCCTTTGGTGGACATTGGCATAGGGATTTATATGTACCTACCATGTGTGAGGGTGATCCCCTTTACTTTACACCCCCAATGCCAGCAGAGCAGAGATGTTATTTTGTCTTTTGAACGCTGACATTCAGTGCAAACGCAAAATAGCCAACAAGGTACAACTTGGCAAAAAAGCCATGAACAAAGGAAGTTTCCTCGCACCGGGTATGGGCATAGCGGCAGTCCTTGGAGAGGAACTTGCAATGATTGCGAAGCAATCAGGTTTTCGATCCGGGCCCTAATCATGATGCTCTAGTCCAGTGCAGCTGCGTACTACAGGAGCCTTGTTGAAGGAAGCTTCGTCAGAGACATTGCAATCACCATCTTCCTGCGAAATTCGGGGGGTGGCTGATCTCGCATGCACTGGCATCTGACATGGACTGCGTGACCGTCCTCGTACAATTGCTGTAGCTGCATTGCCGGAAGAATCCTGCCCAACTCCGAATTGTGGTATGCTGGAGCTCATAGAAAGCGAACCCAAATGGTCCGCTCGGCCTAATGCTCTGCAAGTCTGCTCCGATTTTCTGACAGCAGTGCAGGATGGTGGCAGAGCTTCCACTGGATTGCAGGAGAAGCAGGCTTGAAAAGCTAGATAAATGGCTGGACATGAGTGGCATCTCGGATGGATGGCTAATGCTTGGACTTAGAAACGGCATACCTCAATAAAAGGCCCGGAGCCCCGCCGAACAGTAAGAAAGCTTGACAGAAAATGCCAGTGTCTGGCCTTCCAGGTGGTTTTACAGATCGTGCGTGACGGTTCCCCCTTTCGGGCGGGCTTGAAGGGAAACCAAACGAAGCGCAGCATTTTGGGGCGTCCTTTATTTCAAGACACATTACACAGGCGGAGATCGACAGTGCATTCCGCAGCAGCATAGCTCTGGGCCTAGAATGCTATGAATACACGGGAAACCGCGACGCATACGTGTTCAAACTGTATGAATATCACAAGGCCATGCAATGTGCAGTACTGTGGCAAGAAACTATCCCTGGTACAGTACTTTTCTCGCAAAGGGCAACTGACTGCCCTTGAGAACATGAATCACTGCTTCACTTTGTCCTGCGCCGCAAATGAGAGCAGCGTAGCACGTGGTCACCGTCAACCTGGCAGTTGCATAGCGAACCCGAAAGCATGATACTACCTGACTGATCTGCATTCAAAGCATTGCTTGCCCCACCTCAGTGTCCTTGCATCCACCAGCCTAGCAAGCTGTATCTACAAATGCTGCACAATAAGGAAAAAAGTGGCGGCTAAGAATGAGCAATCTCAAGCCATACCAACCCGTCACATTTTGATCACACATCGCGCCAAGCTGTACATGCATACTTGAAAACGCCAAAGTAACAGCGTGCCAATGTTTCTTCTGGCTTTCCAGGGACGGGTTTCTGCGAATTGCCAGCATGCTCATGGGCCAGGTCGCTGAAGCAACATCATCTGTGCGAAGCCAATGTCACCCTGAATTTCCACAGCGCCAATCATAAAGAATGATGTCTCAAACACTGGCCAAGCCCGCAATGTGACAACGTGACAGACAATGTGACAGTCGACAAAGCAAAACACCACGCCCGACGAAACCAGCCGCGCAGACAACATTAATCCAGGCATCACTCGCCAAGGGTTATCAGCGAGGCTTCATTTCTGGCTTCTGCATCACCGTTCCAGTTGCCTCTGTGCCGTGGCCAGCAGTGGCATTCATTGCATGCTGCAGCAGTTTGAGGAAGCACAGCCGTCGACCAATTGCCCAAAGGGCCCGCATCATCCTCAACCTCCACCTCCCCAAGGGCCGTCAGCAAGGCTTTAATCCATGCGCTGCTCAAGGTTTTTGCTGAGCGCTACCCTGCCGCTTCCGTGCCATGACCACCGCAGGTTAGAGTTTTGGAATAAAAAGAAACACATTATTTTCCGAGCGCAGCTCGGCCCTTTGCATTCCCCATTCGATGACATCTTCGATGAAAAACGACTTGTTTGGAAGGGGCAGCCCTATGCCGTGCTCGGCGAGCAAGTTGATTTGCCCTTGATTGCTGGCATCAAACTGTCGGTCCAGCCTTTGTGTAAGCTTCTTGTAAGGTCTCAAGCAACCAGTGTACTCTTGGTGTGCCATGTCGCTTTCTGCAACTGTGGGGAAGCATCACTTGCCCAAAGCACTTCAATCATCCTCCAGCTCGACCTCCCCGAGGGCCGTCAGCAAGGCTGCATGTCTGCTTTCTGCATCACCCCACCAGTCGCCTCTGAGCTTGCCATGGCCAGCTGCGGCATCTGTTGCAAGCTGCACAGCAGTGTCAGGAAGCACAGCCGTCGACCAATCGCCCAAAGCGCTTTCATCACCCTCCAGCTCGACCTCCCCAAGGGCCGTCAGCAAGGCTGCATGTCTGCTTTCTGCATCTCCGCTCCAGTCGCCTCTGAGCTTGCCATGGCCAGCTGCGGCATGTCTGCTTGTCTGACAATCGCCGCGCGCTCGACCTCCCCAAGGGCCGTCAGCAAGGCTGCATGTCTGCTTTCTGCATCTCCGCTCGCCTCTGAGCTTGCCATGGCCAGCTGCGGCATCTGTTGCAAGCTGCACAGCAGTGCAGGAAGCACAGCCGTCGACCAATCGCCCAAAGCGCTTTCATCACCCTCCAGCTCGACCTCCCCAAGGGCCGTCAGCAAGGCTGCATGTCTGCTTTCTGCATCACCGCTCCAGTCGCCTCTGAGCTTGCCATGGCCAGCTGCGGAATCTGTTGCAAGCTGCACAGCAGTGTCAGGAAGCACAGCCGTCGACCAATCGCCCAAAGCGCTTTCATCACCCTCCAGCTCGACCTCCCCAAGGGCCGTCAGCAAGGCTGCATGTCTGCTTTCTGCATCACCGCTCCAGTCGCCTCTGAGCTTGCCATGGCCAGCTGCGGCATCTGTTGCAAGCTGCACAGCAGTGTCAGGAAGCACAGCCGTCGACCAATCGCCCAAAGCGCTTTCATCACCCTCCAGCTCGACCTCCCCAAGGGCCGTCAGCAAGGCTGCATGTCTGCTTTCTGCATCACCGCTCCAGTCGCCTCTGAGCTTGCCATGGCCAGCTGCGGCATCTGTTGCAAGCTGCACAGCAGTGTCAGGAAGCACAGCCGTCGACCAATCGCCCAAAGCGCTTTCATCACCCTCCAGCTCGACCTCCCCAAGGGCCGTCAACAAGGCTGCATGTCTGCTTTCTGCATCACCGCTCCAGTCGCCTCTGAGCTTGCCATGGCCAGCTGCGGCATCTGTTGCAAGCTGCACAGCAGTGTCAGGAAGCACAGCCGTCGACCAATCGCCCAAAGCGCTTTCATCACCCTCCAGCTCGACCTCCCCAAGGGCCGTCAGCAAGGCTGCATGTCTGCTTTCTGCATCACCGCTCCAGTCGCCTCTGAGCTTGCCATGGCCAGCTGCGGCATCTGTTGCAAGCTGCACAGCAGTGTCAGGAAGCACAGCCGTCGACCAAAGCGCTTTCATCACCTCCAGCTCCAAAAGGCTGCATGTCTGCTTTCTGCATCACCCAGTCGCCTCTGAGCTTGCCATGGCGCTGCGGATCTGTTGCAAGCTGCCCAGTGTCAGGAAGCACAGGTCGACCAATCGCCCAAAGCGCTTTCATCACCCTCCAGCTCGACCTCCCCAAGGGCTCAACAAGGCTGCATGTCTGCTTTCTGCATCACCGTTCCAGTCGCCTCTGAGCTTGCCATGGCCAGCTGCGGCATCTGTTGCAAGCTGCACAGCAGTGTCAGGAAGCACAGCCGTCGACCAATCGCCCAAAGCGCTTTCATCACCCTCCAACTCGACCTCCCCAAGGGCCGTCAGCAAGGCTGCATGTCTGCTTTCTGCATCACCGCTCCAGTCACTTTTGGCTTTTGCATGATAACGAACCTGAATTGTGGTCGGGCAAGGTCGACAGGCGTTGGCCAGGAACAGCTTGCCTGTGCCAAGCCCATAGGAAACTTGCCTTGTGTGATGTGGGAGCGCACGGAGCCGAAGTGCAAATGTGCGAATGAATTGCGCCATAACTTCTGTATCTGCTTGCACCAGGCAAAAGCCTCGACGCCATGAGAAGAGCAAGAGGTTGCTCTAGGGGTGATTCCCTTTGCAGATTTAGGTTAGTCTGAAAATCATTTCGAAGCATCCAGAACGAATTGTGTTTTTGGTTAAAGCACATGTATAGGCGAAAGAACTATCCTGGGCCGGAAGTCGGTTTCAGTCTTGCGCACTTCTGATTCCCAAACTATGTCGTGAGCCAACGTAGGCTTGCAGAGACCTTCCGCAATCCCCTCTCTCTCTCGCCTCGTTGCCTGCGAGACATTGGCAGGTTGAAGGCCTCGGCGTGGCAGACTTGAACACCGGATGGCTGCGTCTCTCCAAGCACCCAGGCACCATTGCAAAGGGCAGGTCGCCGCGTGCACCTCACTGGCTCATTGGGGTGCCGCACAAAGCAAAAAGCATCCTGGGATCATGTTGGGACAGCACTTGTATCCATTATAGAGTTATACCTTAGCAGGCATCCGCTTTCACATGCTGGGACTCTGACAGCCCTGAATCTCTTCAGATCCACCATTCTTGGCACGCTTCCTGCAGGAAAAATCCAGGTGCAGCAACTGCACGAAGCAGCACACATATCACAGATGGGTCACGTGCCAAGATGCACCGCATTTCCTGAGCTCCACACTTGAATAGCCGCGGCAGGATGCGGTCCTGAATTGCTAGCAATACCAGGATCAAGGTTCCATTAGGTGTGGCTATTCTCGGCACATCGAGCCAATACCATGATACCATGTGGTGCAGTCAGAAAAGCAAGGCAAAGTTGGCAATCATGAATGACCAGTGCGTCACAAAAAGGTCCTGTGCGTCCAGACATTGCGGGCCTCAGAACATGTCAATCCTTACAACCGCGCCACTCTGCAGGCAAGAGCCGACCCTGTTGGGGACTGGACTTGTGTGTGCAAGATGCACCAGCTCCTTCCGAATGCCATTGCACCTCAGGCAAAGTTAAAGATTAGCATGTCGCACACACACACACACACACACACTGAAATTCCTGGCATAAAATAATGAGGGCATCGCGAACTGGCCAAGGGCTTGGAGTACCTGAATCTCTGATTGAACAAAACGGATGCTCAAGGCACAGTCCAAAGTATGAGAAGATGAGCAACTACGACCTAGGATTCGTGCGTGTTCCAGTCCACCTGCGTCTTTCGCATTAACGACTTCATCTCTGCCTTGGGGAAAGACCGTGATCTCAAAAGACTCAAAAGCCGTTCGCTGGCCCACGCTCAGTTCCAGACAAAAGTTTCAGACATGTCATGGAAGGCGCTCTCCACCTCGGAGATATGCTCGGAAGAATTCTTGGTCAATCCCAGTGTCACAACTCAATGCCAAACATCCAAGGCCCATGCAGCATCGTTGGCGTGGTCGATGCGGTCTTCCAGCCCAGGATTCTTGGCTGCAAGCTCAACGCCCGGACCGACACAAACTCGAACGCAAGGACAGCCTGACCTCAGTGAAGCTCTCCAGAACATTTGGGCCCGCACGTACACCTCCACCGTTGGAGGCCTAGTGGAAGCCAACCGAAGCTTTCCAGGACTCAACCATGCAGGCACAAAAATCCTACACCATCTCATGTTGGACAATATGCGATATCCCGCCAACATCCTAAGCAAACCAGTGCCGGACATTCGCATCTGCTTTTACTAGGATGCCAGCGGAAAGACATGATTGTATACGGAGGACACGAGGCCCATCACCTGAACAGCTTAGGCATGCTTGCTTGATGCTTGCCTGCAAGCTCAAGCACTGGGGCACCCACAAGGGATCAGCACGTCAGGCTAGAAAAGGAGCATCTTGGAGGGACTGCTCCAGCCGTGATGGATTGGCTTGTCTCAAGCTTGATGTTGGGCTGGCAAGTGAGTGACCCAGGCGGTCCGGCTTGGTGGCTCATGCTTTGCTACTCCTGGAGCATCTGTCAGAAGTGCGGCAGCTCAGAAGCACTGTGTGATGGATTAGGCGAATTCTCTCCAACATGTCAACCTTTTGGGTCTCTTGTACCCAGGGAAAAATGGAAAGCAACATTTGAGACAGGGAAATGCTGCAACCAAAGGGCAAGAATTCTCAAGTGCAAGCATGTTCAGATGCTCTAAGTAAATGCCTTCATTCTGCCTCTGTAACTTGTTAAAAGCTTGCGCTCAAAGAACGAAGCCTGCCAGCAGGTGATCTGCCATATGAAAGCCCCGGAGTCGAAGCCCGGAAAGATAAGAGCCGCGAATGGCTCTTCCTGGCGGGCTTTTTCACGCAAAGCAACAGCTGTGCCAAGCCTTAGCAACCTTCTGCTCTCCTCCTGCAAGCCAGGTGGCAACATAGCCGTTGGTGGCGGTGGCAACTGGGTGAGAAATTGAGGAGCAGAAGCAAACATTCAAAGGAAGGCTCCGCTCGTCGAGCATAAGCATTGTCCAAATGCAGGGTTCCCTCAGGAATCCCTTCTCACGGCCGAAGCCTGTCGTCATTGCAACCCAGCGGTAAATGTGGGATCCCCTCACCTGGTGTGACAAAGCCTGTCAATGACTTTGCAAACTTGAACCGCTGCACAATCGCAGTCGGTCTTGATATTGTGTCGTTTCGCTGAGATTTGTCTTTGTGGATTGTGTGTTGGAGTTTGAGATGCTAGGTGGCCCTTTTTGCCACATGTGTCGCTCCGAAGCAAAGGCGCAGACTCCAGGCATCGCTGCTGTGGCGACGCCGGCCTGGGCACGAACAAGCAATGCTTAGTTCTTGAGGGTACTCGCATCCTAATCCCCGCATAACTCGGCTTCAAAACCACTTGCACCGCGGCTAAACTGCTCCAAGGCGAGAGTAGCGCGAGCGGCGCCTGTCGGCTTGCACGTAACACGCTTCCCTGGAGGGCTGCTCTGTTCATCTATGTTGGCTTCCAACGCTCTCTCTCTCTCTCACTCTGTCTCTGCCGTGTGCTCAGAACGAATCACATCATCATCATGAATGTGACTTTTGCACACCCTGCTTCCACTACCAGCCTGCAAGGTTGCTGGCAACAAAACCTGCAGGAGGCAGGAGTCAGGGAGGGGGAGGGGAGGGGAGGGGAGGAGGAGGGGAGGGGAGGGGAGGGGAGGGGAGGGGAGGGGAGGGGAGGGGAGGGGAGGGGAGGGGAGGGGAGGGGAGGGGAGGGGAGGGAGGGGAGGGAGGGGAGGGGGAGGGAGGGGAGGGGAGGGGAGGGGAGGGGAGGGGAGGGGAGAGAGGGAGAGAGGGAGAGAGGGAGAGAGCGAGTGCGAGAGAGGGCTACTGTGTCAGTAGCACCAAAGCTAGCAAGGCAAATCAACAGTATCTGCCAAGTCCAGGATGTCCTTCTGATGGCTGAATGATCGCTGTGAGTCAACATGTTGCACAAATACAAACCATATCCGGCCTCTTTCGCAGCTAAAATCCATCTTTCCCTGGGCATGCGTCAGAGGATTTTACCTTGAAAGACATGACAAGGCTCCAAAAGTGACTGCACACAGCTGTGATCACCCACCGGGCATTCTCCTTCTCGTGCCTCTGCCTCAAGTCCACAATTCTTGGCTAGGAGCATGCAATCTCCTGCTCTCCACACTCAAACGCGTTCTGCTTATACACCCCCAATCTGCGGCCGCCACTCTGATACAGTCGCCTGGACTTATGAGTTTAGACATGTACTCATGAAAACGACAACAAAGGATCTGGGCCTGAGATGCAGTGTCTGCCATCTTCGCGGCTGCCTTGGACGCCTCTCGATGCAGAGCCTGAGCACAAGTCGGAAGCATTCAAATGGCTGCGCAGAACAAAACACTTCATTCAGCCAGTGACTGCAAATTGGAGACCGGAATGTGAAACGGAGAAAAAAGAAAGCCAAGTTGTGCGCAAGCAACAGTGTCCCAACTGCCCCGTTTGACCAAGTAATCACGACTCTCCCAACCATGCTTACTGCAATGTCCTTCTTGATGAATCTACCACATCTGAGCCCAGCACCACCTGCATACGACTTTCACTGACCTGGCGGGGTGTCAGCCACAGGCCATGTCGCCGCATGCACAACAGGGCAGGCGTGCCGTTGTACGAATTGTGTGCAATCGTACACCTTCATGGCAAAGACAATCGCTTGCGTTTGCACATTGAACTTTGGAGAAAATGAGCCCACGACGTGAAGGAACCGTTGCCAGCCCATCTTCACTTTTGCCACACACAGCCGCACATCGCAGCTACCTCTACGAGGCTACATTTTAGAGCTGCGGGAGCTTCTAATTTTAAAAGGGTCGTGCATACAAGCCGTTTGGCCATTCTGGCCAGTCACTTGCCACAAATCCGCTCGTGACAAATCTCCGGCCAGCACTTCAGATCCAGTGGGGCCTTGCAACATTTGGGAACGCTCAAGTATAGCAACAAGAATCAAAAAAGACATCCCTGCCTGCAACAGCCGCATGCAGGTTCGGGCGATCATTCCACCTGGACACGAGGCACAGGATCAACGAGCATCTCTCATGTGCACTTCATCAGCAGCGAGCTGCCGCAATGGGCACGAAGCTGCCTTTTTCCCCTGCCTGCGGAAGGTGGAACCTGCTCTGATTTTGCGAGTTTTCGAAGTCTTTGACTGAACTCGAACTCGATGTGGAAGGAACTCGCTTCGTTGCTCCGTTAGCCAAAACGTTTCCAAAAACCAAGACAGGTGCGAGCAGTTGGGCCTCAAACAGGAGCAACGAATGTCACAGCGCCTTGTGCAGCTTTAAAGAGCTGGTTCAAGAAAAAGGAGCTTCCAGGCTGGACGTACCAATGCTTCAACGATCCAACGACGGAGAAAGTATCAGCCAGCATTTCAGGGCACAGCTCAACTCGAAAGTGCTTCAGTGCCACCAGATCCCCAATGGTCAAGCTGTTTTCCATGGCATGTGCATGAAGAGGGTCAAACTCTTTCGAGCATGGGTGCGCCGATGCATGGCAGGATGGCTTACTTCTGGCAAACCATCACAACATGACAAAACACTGGCCTCTGGTCAGTGACGGTGAAAACAGGACCAGACCAGCATCACGCAGAAATCACACACTTGAGTGAATCCACAAAGGCATCTCGCACAGCAGTTGCTTAGCCAACCTGCAAGAATATGAAACGCCACAGCCATTGTACCGTAAGGTTTGCATCGGAATCCTGCACGGGCTGGTCTGGTTGTGCCCTCTTTGAGACAGCGCCTCCAGCAACAGAAATCAAGGAGAGGTGACAGTGATTGCGAGCTTTGGCCTGCACCTTGACTGGCCCCCTTCTAAAATGAAACAAGCTGCTGAGCAATCTCGATTCAGGCCTTAACGCTGCATGAGTGTATTTAGATAGTCATGAGGAAGGTCCGGTGGCTGTACTGAAACATCAGAAGGACGTCGAGGAGGAGGAGCGTCACCAGACTGCCTGCGGCAATGGTCAAGGCCTCCAACCATGGCTGTCAAAGGGTACTTCGGTCTCAGCACTCTGCACTCGCTATCTGCTTGTGCAGAAGGGATACTATGATGTTGTGAGTTTCAGAATAGAGAAGCATCAGCAAAAAAAACAAGCAAGTGCAAGTGCGGGTCCATCGCATAGTTGCTGTATCGGTCTGGTTGGGATTCACGCCTCGCTTTGCCCCTTCCTTTCGGATTCGGGCCAATGAGAGAGTCAACTAATCGCAGAAGCTCCTTGGCATTGTGAGTTGCAGCGTAAAGTATGTTTGCCACAAAACGAAGGCTTTGCGTGACATGTGGCATCTCTTTTTCACCAAGTGGCCGCCTGCATCCACTCGACTTCCCTCTGCAGGTAGATTACATCTATTGCTTTGGCATTTCCTTCCAGGGAGAACGTGAAACAAATCATTTAGAGCGGGGGAGGCAATGTGAAAAAATTGCAAAAATGGGAAGTTGTGGAAATTGAAAACCAGGGAACATGGAAGGGCAGACATCGAAACCGGGGAACCTGGGTTGAGGACAATACGGGCAATTGATTGCAAAGTGAAAAGCACCAGACAAAAACGCAAATCGTGTAAATGCATCCTAGGTTGACGGCGAGATTGGAAGCCTGGAGCAACACTTGGAGCTGCGGAAGTTCTCAAGTTAGTAGAAAGCCAAAAGGGAAAAAGCCTTGCAACACCCTTGAGTAAAATAGTGCTTTCGGTGTAGTTTTGCAAACATGCCGGACTATCGCCATGTCCCTGCATTTCTTGGAGCCAAATGCCAGCCACCAGTAATGGCAATTTGCTGCAATCAAAAAGTGTACCCATGCAAGTTACTCAGCCGCAATTGCAATGCTGAACCCGATCATATCACAACGGCACTCATTGCTAGGCACTTCAACTCGTTGGACACTCGGACGACGCATAAATCTGCAGTGTCATGCCTTGAGCGGCACCGCCAGGCGTGAAGCGATGGCGGCCACTGGAAAACGGGCACAGCTAGGGGCGTTTGATGGCGCGGGTGCCTAAGGTACTGAAAGGAGGTGAGCTGTGCAAGAGCACAGTCTTCTGCAGTTCTGCTGGTGGAGCCGGAGCTGAAGCTTCTGGCGGTGGTGAAAGGCATGACATGTATCTCAAGAAGCTGAGGCTGGATCACATCGGCGGCAACGACCAAAGTCCAAGGGCCCACGGCAACGAAGTCATCTAATGCACCCCAGAATGACTACGCAGAGCAATTGGTGCCGTCTGACTTGATCAGCGGCACGAGCAAGCATGGCGGCGTACACGGACATGAAGGAGCACTACTGGGACGGAGGACGACTTCGAGCTCGGGTGAAGATTATTTAGAAACCTTTGGTGGACGCACGAAATGCTGCGTAGAGCAAGGACCTGAACGTGACGAGCCAGGACGGGATCTTGTACGGGCGGAGGAACAAAAAAAACACAGGGACTGCTGCGGAGACGGACAAGGATGAGGTGCCGTCTACTCAGGCGGCTTCAACAGGGAACCAGGAGAATGCGCAGAACGACGGCAACCAGAACTCGGAGAACTGCGGAGTGCGAACACATCGTACCTGGAGCGGAGACGCTGCAAAGAGCCATGAGGAGCTGGACTGAGTGGGACCCAATGTGGGCTACACTGGGGCAAGGCCAGCCTGGATCCAATGGCAACCCAAGCGGGCATGAAGACGTCTACATGCCCCAAAAGCTGCTGGGAGGTCAAAGAACCTCAACGAGCAGGAGAGGTGCGGGATGAAACGATCGGAGCTGGACCCATGCTTGAAGGCCAAACAAAGTTTCTTTGACGAGTGCCCGTGTCGAACGCCAGGCTGATGATGCCGACTCAGCACGGTTCACTTCACCCAGCAACGGCCGGGCCCCGTGATGCAGCTGACGCAGAGAGTGATCGGAACGCATGGATGGTGGGACGCACGCCAGATCTTGCATCAGACACATAGTTCAACAATGCATCAAAGTCATGCTGGAGGACCTGAAAGAAACTCACCGGCTCATGGCGACGCTCAAGGAAGACACAGTCATCATGCACAAGAACATTCCACTAAAGAGATGTGTAGTGCTTCTGCCGACCGACGACTCTTCGATCGCTGACAAGAGCGTCAGGTGGGCCCATGTCAAGAAACCCACCAAGAATGCAGCACCCTCGGCCTTGGGTGAGTCCGACGACGGTGGACAACAAGCCTACGAATGACCGTGCGCAGGGCCATGGCATGGTGAAGAACAAGCGCGGACGACAATACACATGTTGGTAAGGAGAGACCTGCGTAACCAAGCTCGCCTGCGGAGAGTCTGATGGTCTGCAACCGCCCACCCGAACTTTTTGCACTGCTGAGTCGCAAGACGTGCCGCGAGACGAGATGAATGGAACCAAAACGTCGCAATGGAAAGCACAGGGGTCTAAAGGAGGTCAACCCCGTGTAGCAAACCGCAGACTAAAACATGTAATGAGCGGTATTTGAATCTACAAACATGTGTCTTGATGTATTATCAAGCCTAGGCCACCTAAGGGGGAATACCTAGGCAAGCAGCAAACCGTTGACTACCTTTTCACACTGCTGTCAGTGATCTTGAAGTCTATGGCGGGCGGAGCATACACATGCATAGGGTTGGAACCTGAATCCACACCCCCCTCATTTGAGATTGTACAGCAACGAAAATGTCGCCAGGTTTTGACCCGCTTTGATTGACACACATCCATGGCACATTGACTCATCCGTTGCGCCCGTACACTGCTACTGTCTCTCAGGGGTGCTCTTTTATGGTGTTCTTTGCCTTCACCATCTCCCGCTTGTTGACCAGCCGCGCGAACTCCACGCAGTCCATTCCCAGTTGCTCCAGGTGCGGTCGCTCCAGTTGCGACTGCTCCAGTCCCTCCAGCTGCGGCTGCTGCGCGCTGCAGTGGAGCTGGATGCCGGTTGGGTCTGTCCGCGGGCACGGTCCTCAGCGCTCTGTTTCTGATTGCGCTGGGCGAGCCTTTTGGCATCGCCCGCTGCTCCGTCACAGATCTCGCGGATCTCGGCTTCAAGGCCCTCGGCTCCGGTTGCCCGGAGCGTAGGAAACTGTCCACCGAAGGTGACGAGGTTTCGCATTCCCGGGAGAATGTTCACCTGAGCAACGCACTGGGCCAGGCTCAGCATCTTGCCGTCGTACGAAAAGAGCCAAGGGAAGGCATGAAGGTCAGCATCGTAGTCGCCGATCTCGCCGCCGCTTACATAGACCGTACGGACATAGTGATGGCCCTTCTTGCCGTGCCCGGGCCCAACTCCCAACGGCCTTTGGTCGTAGGTGCGGGGAAACTCCGGGAGCACACAGAAGCGAAAGAGCGACATTTGGAAAAAGCTCTCTCGATTGTGGCCTTGCTCCACCATTCTGAGGGCGAACGTCGCGTCCTTGTCAAGCCTGTCCACGACAATTCTTCGAGGCCTCAATCTGCTTTGCCTCGAAGGACGTAGCTCCTCGCTTGGCAACATCAGTATACCCTTTGAGGTCGCCGATCATGAGCTGGTTGACGGACTTCCCCACTCGATGGCATACTTCTTCCAGCATCTGAGTCCGTCTCTTCGCAGCCCGGAACAGCTGGATGTCGGTCGTCTCCTTTGCGCCGTGCCCGCAACGTTGGCATTTCAACTGCCCTTGCATCGTATCTTCTCCGCAAGCAC